TCAGAGAGGACAGGGTTGTGAGGAAATACTGTTATTTCTTCACATTCTATGCCGTATGTCAGCACAAGATCCAAAGTATGAAGATGAGAATGTGTGGGACTATTCACATTTTGAACAAAGCCAATAGTGTCTAAGATAGCATTAAAGGCTGCTCTTAAGCTATCGCCTTCAATGTCAGCATGGATGTTAAAATCTCCCACTATGACCCTGTCAGTATTTAATACCAAATCAGAAAGGAACTCTGAAAACTCATCTAAAAATTCAGAGTAAGGACCTGGTGGACGATACAAAGTTACAAAAAGAAGAGGTTTTCTGGCCTTGAAATTTGGATGAGGGAAATTAAGGGTTAAATGTTCAAAAGAGTTGTAGGTATTAACTGTTTTTGGAGTAATCAGTAAGTCAGACTGGAAGATTGTTGCTACTCCTCCTCCTCGCCCAGAACTTCTGGGTATGTGAAAATTTAAATAGCTTGAAGGAGTTGCCTCATTTATGCTCACATAATCCTCTTGCTGCAGCCAGGTTTCTGTAAGGCAAAACAAGTCAATGTGATTATCACAAATCAAGTCATTAACTAGCAGACTTTTAGAGGAAAGCGATCTTATGTTAAACAGACCGCATTTAATTGTTTTAACTTTTTCCCCAATTGGAGTCATTTTGATTTTAATTAGATTATCATGATTTACTCCTTTGGGAATCTTTGCTAATTTATTAGATTTTGGTCGTGGGCAAGACACTGTCTGGATGGAGTAAAGAGTGGGTAACAGTAGAGAAGCTGCAGAGATGTGTGTTAAACTACAACTCTGTTTCCTGGTCTGCACCCTGGGTGGTCAGGGTTTTGGAGGACTAATAAATGTGGCCAGATTCCTAGAAAGAAGAGCTGCACATGCAAATTTAAGTTAAGCCTTCCTTTATTTACATAACTCCTATCTTTGAAAAGGTTTCATCATGAGAGGGAGTTTTAAAAGAGATCAGGTAATTGTGAAGTCTTATTCACTACTGTATGTTTTAAAATGTTCTAACAAGGGACTGTCCTGTGTGCCGTCCTTTTTTGTTAAGCAGAAACTATATTTTAGATGAACTTCATATCCTCTTTCAACCTGATTTGCCTCTGCTCGCATGTTGATTTGCATAGCTGATAGTGACGTTGTCATCCTTGGACATTTAGAAGGACTCCTAGTGCAGATGGTAGACTGGGAAAAAAAGAAAAAAGCAACATAGATGATATAATGAAGATTTGATACAGGAGGAAGAGGTTTTTGAATTGCAGGGAGGCTGAGGACAGAACTTGTATCATAAAAATGATACAAGTTGCAAAAAAACATCTAAAATGATGGGAAAATTCTAACAGAGGTGAATCCAAATGTGAAAATAACAGAAGACAATTATCTAGGAAACTATACATAAACTAATTTAGTAACATCATAGAGGATGTATTTATCACAGAAATGAACATGATACAGCAAAAAGCAGGGAAATGGTGAAAATACAAACAACTGAAACCAAACACTCCTGGAATATAACATATGCAAAGCTGAACTCTTTTGGTTAGAATAGTTGGCAGCAGATAGACATGAACAAACTGAGCCATGATGAAACTCAAACCGGTTTCTTCAGCCAGTCCCTCTACTTTTAGCTCCAATTACTTTTAGAAACTTCATTCATTGAAAATGCTTGTACTCAAAAAACTTTTTTATTTGGCCCAATTGTATTACTTACAAACACAAATATCATCATTGTTGTTATTCTTTCTAAGACATATAAAATACAAATTTTTCTTACCAACTGTAATTATTATTTCAAGAACAAGTATCGAAGCATAAACATCAGCTCATAACAATTCATAAAGCCTAATATAACTCACAAATGAAATAATGGGTCTCTGAACTATGTTGGTTTTTCTTATGTCAAACTGGTTCCTTTGTGTCAAAATAAACCACCATAAAAAATAAAAAAATCATGCTCTTCGTAAATTTTTCTAATGGCAAAAAGAGATGATAAACACAGTATTCAGATTTCTTTTTGAAGCAAAGTAGCTCTTTCCAGCCTTAATGTAGCCTTTGCAGCTGACCAACAGCAGCAGGACATAGTAACTGGGTACATAAGTTAATATCTTTCACTCTTTCTGTTTACTGTTAATTACATATTTATAATGATTTCCATTTATTTCTTGGATTTGAGCAGGAGCCTCATTGTGCAAATGTCTGGTGGCAGAGAGGTAATGATCAATGAACATTTGATGAAGAATTTCTGAATCTTGTTTTAACATAAGGATATTTTTTTTCTGTTGATTAAGAAAAATTAAGAATATTTTTGTTTTTTTAACTAATACCACCAGGGGCATTATTATTTATGTAATTAAAGGTTGCTAAATATTTGTTTTCATATGTTCCTCCAGAAGCATAAAAAATGAAGAAAAAAAAGCTGACCTTTCAAAAATTAAATACATATTCAGATCTTAATATCTTTAACTTTTTAGAGATTGTACAAAATTCCCTCAGGTAGCACTACTCTAACTACAAGATCTAATATTTAGGTCTGTGTATGACCACAAAATGATTAAAACCCAGCTATATTCAAAGATTTTATTATCCTTGAAGTAATTTATCTTTTTTCTGGTGAGAATATGTCTGAATAATCATCTCTCATTTGGGAGTGTTGGCCTCGTGGTTAGAGCACTCTGTGCTCTGAGAAGGTTGAAAATATTCATCTGCTTGTTATGCGCTTATCAGATTCTGGGTTCTTTCCATGGTTGAAAGTCCTGCTTGTGAGTCAGATCGTACTACTTCCAGAGTTTTAGTATTCTTTTGTTTAATGCATGATGCGACTTTGACTTTTCTGGAGCATGTTTACCTAGAGCACATGTCTTGGTTGGAACAACCTCTGACCTGTCCTCTCAACAAATGCTGTTGCTTGGCATATAGTAAAAGATTTTTTTTTCCACAGTCTTGCCTAATTTAATAAATGCATCCTTAATCTCTTGCCTTTCACTCTTATAGAATGATAATGTGTCAAATTTAGGGTACCGCCCAATTATCTTCTTTTGTTTTACTGAAACAAACATTTCCTGTATCTCTTGAATGTTGCTCCTCATTATGAAGTGATCCACAAACGTGTCAGTCTGCTACTGTGAGCAGCTCTCTGAGCAGTTGGCATATTTATAGCAAAAAAGCTAAAAGTTTTTATTTAATACACACATTTTTTAATGAAACCTTTACTTGTCCCCCAGATGAACGTTAGGTATAGTTCTCTCTTTATATATATGCATTTTATACATATTTCCTTAACTACTCTTGGGTAATGTGTATTGAGTTTACTTTGATCACATTTGTCACTTTCACACAAGAGTTATGGTGGAAGAATAAAAAGTATCTCTACTGTATGTGGCTGACTCTTACATTAGTAGTCTGTTCACTTTGCTACTTGTATAAGATTTACAATGATAAGTACCCTAGCTACTTTTATGTTGAGAAATAGCATTTGCTTTTACTGGAAGTAGAGAACCTATAAAAAAGAAAAAAACTTTTTAGATGCATATAACTTCATGTTTAGTACAATTTCTGTTCAAAATGATTTATATAAAGAAGGAAAAATTGTGTGAAATCATAAGATTTCAAATTTTAATGTGTCAGAACAATTCCTGATGAGAGTAAAACAGCAAGTGCTAGTAAGCTAGGACAGGAGGATTCAGCCACAGGTAAATAAAACTGCACAGTCTCCAAAGTTAGCAGGACTACTCAAAACCCAGAAACCGAGACTCCATAAAGCTTCTTGGCTGCATGATGTTCTGTGTTATTTCTAAATTAAATACTTAAACAAGGACATCAGCTCAAGGCAAGCGTATAGATTTAACTTCCACTCCCAACAGTTGATGTTGCCTGTATGATTCATTTATAATAATCTTTATTTACATCATTCATTTGTTGACATTTTAAGTTCATACCTACATGTTTACAGATGATAGCAATAAGTTTATCTCATCCAGGGCCAGAAAGTGGTGCATTCATGCTCACTCTTTTTGTTTCTAATATGCAATGACTGTAAATTCTGGCTCCAATTAGTAGAAGCAGTCTTTATAACAATGTTCTGGATTTTGTATACCTACCATAAACACATTTATGGGATGATTGAATTCTGTGACTATGATCAGCAGATGAAAATCTCATCCTAAATGACATCCTAAATGACATCCTAAATGCAGAGAAATTAAGGAATCCAGACGTTTCTATAAACCTTCGACAATGCCTTAATTTATAATTTGTGTTCCAGATCACAGAAGGAGCCATTGGGACCTGAATTTGCTGACATAATGAATAACTTATACAAAACAATATATGCTGTTTATAGCTCTATAATCAGCAGGTTCAGAAAAAGATCAGATGTGAAGATCACTTAAAGCCTCAGAAGCATAAATGAAAAATATTCAGATGGAAAGTGGCTCACAATAACCCTTGGTAAATACATTCCTTAATAAATAGCTCCGGTTAAAAACATTTTTCTTCAACTCATTTACTTCATTATGGTGAGTAATTGATATTGATGTGAGTGAATATATCCATATTTTACAATATATTTGTATTTTACACAATAGAGAACTGTGTATTAAATATCAGGAAAATGTAGAATTATAATAAACAAAAAGACAAACCATCTGTTCATATGAAAAAAAAAAAAAAACAGATAATCCCAGTCAAGTTTCCCCACAGGTATCGCGCTCATTCTCAAATTTAGCCACTAGGGGGAAGCACTGCTACTTTCTTCGGCTTGATTGTCCCCCTTCAGCCGCACTGGGACGTTTGCTGGCAGGCCTAGTCTGACAAGTTCTTCTCTCACCTGTGGAAGAAAAAAAAGAGATGCAGCAAATTTCAAAAACTCTTCAATCAGTGGTGCAGTTTGAATGTATGGAAAGTCTATAGCAAACAGTAACATAAAGTATATTATACGGAATGTAACATTATACTCATGTATGTTTCATTAAATAATTAGGGATTCCATTCAAAGATGTCTCTGACCGTTTTTAAAATGTTGTCCTTGTTGTCCTCCAGTGACAGTGTAGTCCATATATTCAGTTTTAGAACAACAGGATCACCTGGAAGAACAAGAGTACAGCAAACCTGGCTTCAGATGAATTTAGCATTGGGGGTTGAGCAGGGGCAGAGCTAGAAGGGGGGGACAGGGGTGGCCATGGCCACCCTTACCCAATCGTTGGCCATTCCTGTGGCCACCCCTACCATTTTTCCCCCATTACCCCAATATTCAAAACATTAAAATTTTTAATTGATTAACAATTACTTGACCACAAAAACACTGTGGTTAATTATACACATCAATATACTAACATTAAACATGATAAAGTACTGAATTCATGCTCTTTTCAGAACTAGATTTTTTGTTATATGGGGTAAAGAGAAAATGCATGTTAGTTTTATGTTAAATAATAGATAAATAACTATTCTTATAAAAACTTAGTAAATAAACATTTTTTGTAGATATTAGTACTTGTAAATATACATTTTTTCCAGAATGATTATTGATAAAGTAGGTAAGCAATGACAATGGAAAAGATGTTCAGCCCAGAACCCTTCAGTGTAGGTTGGTTATTGCCTGGCCACCCTTAGAAAAAATGTTCTGGCTATGCCTCTGAGGTTGAGACTTATTTTGTAGCAGTATACAGTTTTTATATCAAACTTAAAGTTATAAACTGTAAAATAGCATCTCTCTCTCCAGCTCTCTTTCTTTGAGTGTGTGGAAATATAGGCAAGTTGTCAATTTTAGTAGGGTTAGAAATAAATATGAATAAAGAGGTCATTGTTTTACTCCTATTGCTCCTATAGGCAATAATATTTTTTATGGGGAAAACATACATTTCTGGAGTGTCTGAAGCATTTCTTTTCTCTTTTTCCACATTTCCAATTGTTATGAAGTGTAATGACACTTGCTCTCTGAAAAATGTTTAACCAGTTGCAGCATCAAGCTCAAAAAAACTACAGGACTTGTTTAGCTTTGCATGCTATCAGCAGATTCCTGTAAGAAACCCCAAAGTATCTATGAGCCTCATCCTTCAGAGGTTAGAGGCAAACTATGAAACACTCTGCACCCAAAAGCAGTGTGACAAAAAACTCCTCCTGTTGTGGACACAACCTAAGAGGGAGGCTTAAAATGTAAAGAGACAGGCATACAGCACCATTAACCTGTTAATTAATGACAGTGTTGTAATTTGTTTCGGATGGCTATAAACCCCCATGCCATCTAATCAGCCTTGGGGTTGGGTAATACTTCCAGATACTTTAATTCCTGCTTTTAACCTTATTACATATTCTCTGGGGATAATTTGAGCGTGTCAAAGCGATTTTAGATACAAAAAATACTTTCAAGTAATTGTTGGTCCTGGGATAAAAGAAGAATCATAAGTGCATGGAAAACGAAAGATTTTACTTACGCTTAACTGTCACAACGACACATCGAAGTTCAGACTGATACACAGAACTGTGGAGGGAGATTTGGAAGGTAGCTTTATTACTGCTGTAAAGATACTAATACTGAGTATTTAAAAATACCAGAACTTGAACATAAAATCTGCATAATTTGTAAAAATTAAATCACATGTAAGTTTCCAACAATTACTCTCTACTGAAGTAGCCTTTTTACCGAATACTTTTATACTTTTAAAATTTGTGGGTATTTCTAGGGGATACTTCTATCCCCTAAAATAAGGAAGAGTATTTTCCTTCTGAGAAGGTTTGGCCAATGGAACAATTGCTCCATTGTTACGGTTCTGTTTTGTTTCTACATCACCTTCTGTTTAAAGTAACCACCAAGCATGACTATAATGGACAATAAAAAAGATCATCCTTTGGAATTGTAATTCTCTTGAGTGCTGCGTTCATATCAAGCACATTTCGAGATTTAAAAAAATTGACACTTTTATATTTAGTCAGATTCTCTTGATGATTGAAGCTTCAGATACTCAGAGCTCCTGGTCTTCTCTTTGCAACTGAAAGAGGAGCTTGGGTTTATTAATTTTGTTGAACTGAGTTAGATAAAATATAAAAAAAATATATTTCTAAGTGAAGTACTCCGTGAAATGTTATCTGTTTGGCCAATTCATTAGGATTATGTTCCTACTTAAACATTCTGTTGTTGTTCAGATCAGCAGACCCTGCACTTGCTTGTCTGTGAGAATTAAATTCCCTGTCCATTTAAGCGTGAGTATAAAATGTTTTTTTTATGTGTGTGTTAAAAACTGTACCAGAGTTCAAAATGTCATATTTCTTGCAGGCAGGTTTTACCATTTTTAGTTATTATAAGTATTTTTTCGTTGGAGTTCAGTAATAAAATATTTCATTGAAGTAAAAATGATTAGAGCACTCTCTCCTTCTACAATAAAACATACATTCTCCCAACTTTATGGTGAAACAAAATTCATATTTACTGTATATTAATTTTTTAGATTTTATTCTGAAACTCCTTGGATATCTGTTTCTGATTGGTTGACACTCAATGTAAAATGGCAAAAGTTCAGATGTTCCAATTCCAGCCTCCACTGTTGGGGACAATGCTGCAAACACTGCAAGGCTCGCTGCTCCTCATGCTAAAATTGTGCCACTGGACCTCTCAACGTTCCTGGGTGGCATCTCTCATGGAATTTGCATGCAAACCTGAAGCTCAGACACTCTGCGTTTGCAGCCCACAAGAAAAGTACTCACTCCTCTACACTCTGGACTTTGAGTTTTTTAACACACAAACTTCAGAGTGATCAGATATCTTACTTTAAAAGTTACCTCTGAATAACAAAACAGATGGGATGGCCAGGTCCTTCATCAATTATAGATGGTGTCCATTTCAGATAGAAGTTTCCTGATCCTGAAGAATTTTTGACATTGTGAGGTCCGCTGAACAGAAGCTCCAGGGTCCTTTGTGGAACAGAAAATATAAAGAAAGATTTATTGACGTTTCAATCTTCTTAAATACCTACAAAGCAGTCGGCTCTTTTTCAACCTCTTAATGTTAATATTTGGGGGATGCAGGATACAGGAGGCTTTTTGCATTTTAACTAATTAGGTTATCCACTGCTGTTTAAACTGGAACATTTCTATGTTAGGCTATCTTTGAAACAAATATATGAACTTAAGAAAAGTTGTGAGGATGTAACAAAGAATGGAATTTATTTCTGCAACAATTTTATAATACATCTTTTATTTTATTTGTAGTGCATCTATTTTTTATGCCTTTTGTATTTTCTCACCCAGCCTGATTTGCGTTTCCGCTGATTTTGATCTCCAGAGGCTGATTGACGTTACAGTAGAATCGAGCTCCATGTTCTGGAGTTGGAGGCAGAAATCTGGGCAGATAATCACCTTCTAAGCATGATGGTGCTACAGGATCCACTAGAACACATTTAATTTAATTCAGTTTATTCATATAGCAGTCATTCAAAACACATATCATCTCAAGGCCCTTTAGGACGAAAGAGAGGAAATACAGTAAAAAAAAAAAAACAGGACAACACTGAAAGACTGGCAGCAGCACAGCTGATAATTCTCTCCAGGATGTTGGCACAGCCAAACAGGAACAGACCAGATGAAGCTACTATGAGAAAAAGCAGAGGCAGGATAATATTAGAGATTGAACTAAAAAATGTTGTAGAATGGGAGAATAGATGTAATTTACTTTAGTATCTGAGATCCATTTAATCCCATCCAAATGAATTTACTGACTACTCAGCTTCTATTTCAAAGACTTTAATCCAAAGACAGTAACTTCTGTTTTGTCTGTATTCAAAATCACAAACTTAAGTTTTTCTTAACATAACTTTATCACATGTATATTTTAGAATTAAATGCATTTTAGTGCTGTTAATTTGTCAAACAGATGTTTAGACTTTACCTTGTATACCAAACTGGATGGGTATCCGGCTGATGGCATCGCTTGTAGTTTTCACAACCTGTGACCTATCAGCCTGAGTCAGGGTTATTTGCTGTCTGGGGAAGTCCTCCATCACCATCTGGACCGCATACAAGCCTTCAGTTTTATTTGAAGTTGCATTGAAGGAGAACGTACAATTCTGCAAGAACAAATAAAATAGACCAACAATGTAAGGAAAAGTTAGATATTATGAGAGATACTATTAAATTGCACATTTATTGTACTCAAATAAATCCCAGATTTTCTTTCCATACATTATTCTATTAACAAACAACCTAACACCTAAACTGATAAAAGCTTGATACAAAGATTTGCTAAATAAGATAGACAGATAGATAGATAGATAGATAGATAGATAGATAGATAGATAGATAGATAGATAGATAGATAGATAGATAGATAGATAGTATATAAAGTATTTGTCCTACATGACTTTAGGTTGTGTTACTTACAGAAGACAGGCTGAGAACAGGTGGAGGAGTGCAGGGTGAGGCACATTCTGTCATGCTAAGGTTTGCATATCTGCATATAACCTCGTCTCCATCAGGGTCAAAGGCCAAGAGATTAATATTTCTCAGACAGTTTGAAGGAACCCTGAGAGAAAAAAAAACACATCTAAATCCATCACTTTTCATCGGGGGTAATGTGAAGGAAGAGTCAGACACATGGTTTAGATTGGTCTGATTCTTGCTGTTCCACCTTTCAAGCCATGGATTTAATTTTAAATAAATAATAACGATTTAGAACATTTAACTTAAAGCATAAAACCTATATAAAGTTTCAAATGACAGCAACATAATTCAATGAAAATAAACTTATTACAAACAATCCATTTAAAGAAAAGTGTGTATTCAAGTGTTAATGATCAACATGTACAACTATGATGTGGAGAACCATTTAAAGCCAATCTTTTAAACAATCTAAATACTGTGCCAAAGAACAGTACATATCCAACAGGGTATATTAGCTACAACAGTGCATCTTACAACTAAATTATATTATTGGAATCCACACATAAAACTAAGCTGTTACTAAGGGATTATTCATTTTATGTTGATACAATTATTTTTAGACAATTATTTCTGTTGTGCAATTTTCACTCACAATAGTGTTTTTTCTTTGCATGTGTGTGTGTGTGTGTGTGTGTGTGTGTGTGTGTGTTTGTGTGTTTAATAAACTGAGCCATATATGAGCTTTAAAAAAAAAAAAAAAAAACTTTAAACAGAGGTGGTGGACTCAGATTCCAGCTTCCAAAAACATACAATTCAATCATAGACATGATCCCTTCCAGATATCACCAAACCCCCCACCCCATCACAGAGGAACGAGGGACCTACCCGCTCCAGCCGGTGAACAATACCTCCTTAACGACCGACCCCTAGAATCATAGACAGGTTCAGATATTACAGGCTAACGATGGAACTAAACGACCCATTCATCGGTTACCATTTGTATGTTTCCAAGCAATACAAGGCCTTGTCCATATTAGACTCAAACTCACTGCGGATCCAGACATTTGAATTGAGAAAGCTTCCTGGAGAGGTGGCGAAACGTCTTCAAATCTTGAAAACCAAGTCCAGTGGATATTTTTTGAATTTTTACGGAAAAAATATATGAGCTTTATGCACTTAAGCTTGTGAGAATCCATCTGATAGGTTTTGGTCGCAATGTAATATTCTTTGATTGTTTTCTTTCTGCTACATTTTAAAACTGAATTTTGATGCATTCCTTTTTACTGAATTTTGATGCATTCCTTTTTACTGGACTATTTTGATTACACCTGAAACAAGTTTTGAATAAGAGGTCAGAAATTTATTCCAGTCACGATTTAATGACACCTTCCATAACATCCTGAAAGTATTCATCCTGTCCTCATAGAAGCAGGCTTTTTTATGCACACAATCAGCACTGTTTAATTCAAAAGATACATCAGCAAAATGATTTTTTGCCAATATTTAATTCAATGGTAGCTGAATTACCTCAGAACCGGTAAGATGGTGGTCTGTGGTGATGAGTTTGGTTTGTTGGTGTCGGACCGACTCCTCAGTTCAACTTCAGCTACAGCTCTCCATGATGTAAGGTCATATAGATTTGTGACCCAGTTACCACTATCATACCTGGAATGGATGTTCTGCATAAGTTTTCCGTTTCTAGACATCTACCATCTATATACTTTTAAATTCTCTCATAACAAAGCATTAAATAATACTACAAGTTTTAGTTAATCAATCTAAGTAGATTACACAGAAAATCTAAACAGTTACTTATTTTTGCTAAACATTATAAATTAAAACTCACACAAGCTGAAATGGAGATTAGTTGGGAAGCAGTCGAGATGTGATCTGTTCAGTCTGACACCACATATTGGTTTGAACTTTGTATTTTTTACCAACTAAGCTTTCATCACCACAGTTGCCAGTGCAAACAAATGTACCATTATCACAGGTTTTGAAGTTATACTTAAATCGAACGATCACCTGCAGATTTTAAGGAATTATCAGGTATGATCACAGTTTAAAAGAAATAACTTGCAGTAATGTATAGATAATCTTTACTTACAGAGACTGAACCATTTGTAAAAGTTTCCTTTGTATAGTAGGTCACCACAGTGCCAAGATAATGACTTCCTTGTGTACCAGACACAATCAGCAACATCAGCACAGACAGCAACATGTTGAAAAGTCAGTGTCTCTACACAACAAGTTACTAAACACCAGAGCATTTATACTCTCACAGACTTCCTCTCATCCACTCCCTCTCATTTTCTATTCATGGATATATATATATATATATATATATATATATATATATATATATATATATATATATATATATATATATATATATATATATATATATATATATATATACATATAAAGTATGAAGATTTCAAAAAAGGAAATGCACTTCCATATCTAACAACCTTTTGTAAGATGTCACACTCATCAGCAGGCTTTGTTTTGATGCCTGATGCCACCTTTAGGGAGTTTGTTTTGATGTTTTTTAATCACTTCTGCAATTGAAAGTGCATCAGAAAATCTGCAGGCATATCTGACAATGCTGGGTGCATCTCAAACCAAACAGTGTGACTAGCTTTCTCTTGAGGACATGGGATGAAAGAAAAAAAGTTTATTTTACTGAATGTCAGCAAATGTGGGGTTATTGTTATTTTGCTGTTTAAGAAATTTAGCAGGTTTTCAAGTAATTCCGTAAAAATGAAAAAATAAATCCACTGGACTTTGTTTCCAAGGTTTGAAGACGTTTCGCTTCCCCTAGAAATAGAAAAATGTTCAAACTAGGAACGGTCCTGTGTTTGTTCGCTTCATTTCACTTATTCAAAATGATAAGGCTGCTTTGATGTTGATTTGCATTGCTGACAGTGGTAATATTGTGCAAGCAAGTTTGTTATGGACCAAAATGCAGAGGGCAGGACATACAGTAAAACCTAAAAACCAAAAACAATTTGGTCAAATAATGCTAACTTACAAATAAATGCAAGAGGAACAGGTCTTTGAATATAGGCAGAAATGTAAGTATTGAAATAAACAGCATAATAAATACAATAAAAAAATTGTGTAAAACGGTGGTAATGTTAGCCATAAACTGTGAAGTTAGATATGTGTGTGTTAGGGTATCGAGGTCAGTTGTTTCTGCATATTATCAGACATGATGAACCTTTGAGCTTAAAAAGGAAGGAACAGTGGAAAATAAATCAGGTTGCAGGTTAAATAAGTTAGTTTCCTCAGCCAAGGAGATTATGTTTTTAAGAAAGTATGTGTGTGTGTGTTTGTCATTGTGTGTACAGGATAACATGAAAATTTATGAGCGCATTGAAATTTACACCAAAGATGCCCCTCAGTCCAAGGAACAATCCGTTAAAGTTACGTGATGATCCACATCATAATCCAGATGCAGGAAACCTTGAAGTTACAAAAGGCTTGACTCGGGACACATGAAAAGTAGGAAGTATCCTCATAGAATGATGGAGCTCGAAGCAGACGACCACCAGATTCACCACCTTTATTATCATAATACCACCTTTTTTTTAAGAATAAACCAACAGCATGGATTCTAAATGATTTTTTTCCCTTATTAAATTCATAAAGTGTGCTGTTAACCACATTTTTTTTATGAACTAGAGAATTAGAGTTGATTGAACTAACTCATAGCAGCATTTGTGAAACTGAAAACGTGGAGCTCCCGACCCTATGCTAGATCAATTAATAGTTGCCGATTTCAACCTGAGTTTGTAAAACTTGCTTCTTGAAATTGACCCGTGGTAAACAGAGTGCTGGAGCAAAGGCCAGTGAGTTAAGATCTATCCAATATATAGATTATATATTTATCCTGTCACAGAACCTACTGCACTTACCGCCCATGTTTTCACACACCTAAAATTCCTTTATTGGATTTAAATGTGTTTGGATCAGAAATGTTTTGACAATTTAAATGTACCCCTTATATGGAGCTGAGAATCAAATAATCTGATCATTACATATGTGTATTTGTACCAAGCTTTATTCAGAATAAAGGCAATTTGCCATGTGTAGATTTTTCACTGCTTAAAGCTACATGTTCAGTAACTCCTGCTGTTGCTGTTTTTGTAATACTGAATGAATGGGAGGGAATTTACATCTGTGAAAAAGTTGTCCAGTCCAGCGTATGTTTCTGTGTACACTCAGTCATGCTTTCAAACCAATTTTGAATTATATTTGCTTTTCTGCATTTAACATGATTTGCCTATCTGAAGGTGATGTCAATAGGCCGATTGACAAAAGTCTAGAGCCAGAAACAGGAACATGCTCAGACAGTTTTAAAGGGTAATGCAGGATCCAAAGCTATGTTTAGAGGTAAATTTACATGTGGGGCCTGTTTAACTGGAACCCTTTTGATTCCTGATTTAATATGCATTCATTTATGTGGGTAGTGGCAGCCTAGTGGTTAGGACATAGAGCTTGGAATTCTGAGGTTCTGAGTTCAAGCCCCACTACCACAGACTGCTACTCTGGGTCCCTTAGCAAAGACCCTGCTCCCTGGGTGCCGCACAATGGCCGCCCACTGCCATTTCGTTGATCTGCACTTGTGACAGTGCAATGACTATAAAAAGCTGGGGGGGAAAAGTAAAAACCATTTTCTGACTGATTTTTGCCATTTTGATAAATTGAGATTAATACTTTGACTGCTGCAAAGAAATATAAATGAATTTTTTGGTAATTTGCAAATGTGCGACAACATATTTATCAGTGATGTCATTCACCATATTGCCTTGCCAAAGGTTACAAGGTCTGCACTGAATGTGGATGTTAGTGGATAGAAATAGTTATTTTTCTGATGAATATTTGGTCAATCTCATTTGTTAATTTTTAGGAGAAACTTATGTTGATTTTGTTCAAAGTTGCACTCAATAATTTATGAAGAGTGTTGGCAGTGTGTTTCCTAATAACAACTTGTTAAACTTCAGGGTAAAGCAAAGGTTGTTTTTGGTCACCTGATCAGATGGCTGTCCTTCAGCATTTCCATTTTTGTCATCTTTTGTGAAAAGCCATAGTTGCAGATAGCACAACAGAAATAGCCAAATACACTTACATTTGTGATTAACTAACCTCTTCTGCAAATTGGGTTTACTTTCAAAAGTCCACTGTTCAGGGGAAAGATTGGAAGGCACGGATCAGTACATAGATAATTCAAACTGCTTTGAATGAAATAAACATTATAATAGAGACAAAACAAAAGAAAGATAAAGGCAAGTAAAGTAAAAACATGATAAAACAGGTAGTAATAAACAGTTGGACCACAAACGTAAACCTCAGATGACAGTGACAGTCAAAAGCTAATAATTGGTTTTAGTCATAAGCAAATGGGTTTTTACCTTTGACTTAAAAGAACTTTGGATTACAGCAAAAAATAAGGAAATTCACATAAAAGGGGAGATGTTCTGATGTAACAAGCCCCAGGCCATGTCATGATTCTGCAGTCTGCTTTGCTTTGCTGCTGTATAATCTAAGAGATGGCATTAGAACTGAAAGTTTGTGTGAAGTGAGTGATTAGAGTTTTCAGTTGGAATTGGATTCATGGTTTTTTCTGTGTTTTCTAGTTTATTGGTTATGTTTATTATGTATTTCTTGAGTTGTCTTCTAGTTGTATTTGAGTTCTATGTATTTCTTGTTTACCCTCTATTATCTTCTTGTATCAGTCTCCTTCTCCTAGCTCCCTTCTAGATTCTGCTGCCCACACCTGTTCCTCCTCTGCTAGTTAGTCCTCCCATTGTTTCTGTCTCCCACGTATACACTTTCTGTTCAGTTACTCTTTGCTGGTTACTTGTCATTTCTTGATCCTCATGTGTGTTTTCCCTGACGTTTTCTAGTTTTTGGTTTTCTGTATTTTTGCATCAGTTACCACCTTTTGAATTATTGAATCTGCAAGAACCCACTTTAGCTTCCGTCTAAACCTCCACTTGACCTGTCAGGCCGCATGGTTGCATCTGGTATGCTTAAGAAAGACCCATTTAAAAACCTGTTAATGGTATTATTTCAATGGGTTCTCAATGGTTGGCATTAAGTAAAGAGATTTTTCCAAGAGGGAGCAGATATGAAAATGAAGCAAAAGGAATTAAAAGGTTGTAAAAGCCATCAAAGTCCCAGGTAACTCAGACTGAAGCACACTTTACAAATGTATAGAATAGAATAGAACAGAAAATCCCTTTATTGCCCCACAATCGGGAAATTGTGGTGTTATAGCAACAAATGGATATAGCAGAAGTGGTCACATAATGTGGAACTTAGAATAGTGTACAAAAATAACAGAATAAGTGACAGTTAAGAAAATAAACAAATAAAGTACTGTACAGGACAATGTTTTTACAATATAAATGCTCTATATCTGGAGAAAAAACAATCAATGAAGAGCTGTGGACATTTTGATAGTAATGGATATGTCAAAAATGGTAGCAACACCAGAGATGTGAAAAAGAAACAAGAGCAGCATGTAGTTTTGTTAAAGTAAAATAAGCTATGCCACTCAGTGCTGAATGAGAAAGCCATCCACAGCATGGTTTGTTTAACGATTGAATGATTTTTAACACCTTAGTGGTTGTAAAAATGCCTTTGATATGTCATTGAAGAAACATTTTTTTTCAGTTGACCATGAAAGGTTTGAACATTGCAAAATGTAAAAAAGTTAAAAGGATATGAATACTTCTGCAAGGAAATGAGGATGAGTTTGAAAGAGTTGTTCTAAGATTTTCCATTGCTGTTTGTTTTTCCGAATAACTTTCAGTTTCATTCAAGTTTTACGTTATTCAAAACAACCCTCAGGACTTTTGTTTCTATTAATATTTTGTAAACTTTAGATCAAAGAAATTATTCTAGAGCATTGAATTGTTTTAGTGTGTCTGTTTTACCTTTAATTGGAGGTTGTGCCTTTTAGGTAATTACCGTATAGCAAAATTAAGAGATAACATTTTTTTGCTTTTCTCTTTTGTTCCTGTTTAAAACATTTTCCTCTGTTTTCTGAAACCAGACTGGGAACAGGACAGATAATTTCCCTATTATTACCTCTAAAAAATAAATTTACTGAGAAAAATGGTGGCGTGTTCAATACTTATTTTACATACTGTATGTATTTTTGGAAGAAACCCTGTTCATGAATGCAAAAGACTCAAACCTGGGATGGCAGTTCTCCTAACATTAGGTCAG